AGGATTAGCTTTTGTTAGCAGAATTCAGTAACTTTTGTATCAAGGACTCACTTTCTTGCTAGCTGTCAACAAAAGGCTACCCTCAGCTCCTAAAGACTTCTCTCAGTTCTTGCCATGAGCATTCCAACACTGGCATTCCGTAACGTGGCAGCTTGCTTTTTGAAAGCCAGCAAGGGAGTGAGAGACTTCAGCTAAATAGCACTGTAATTTTAATCACATGTGTCCTGTCACTTTTGCCACATTCTGTTGGTTTCTAACCAACAAGTCAAAGGTCACCCCCACACTTAAGGGGAGAGGATAATCCAAGAGTGTGAACATCAGGAAACATGGGTCATAGAGTGTCTACTCTAGAGTCTGCCACAGACAGATACAGTTGGTGAAACAAACCCTCAAGAGTCTGAATTAGGGTGCTATGAATGCACACAGAGAGGAAGAGTTAGATTCAAGAAATTATGTCTAGGAAATACAATTATGATTTCTTTTGAGATTCTTTGCATACATTAACTCATATATGCCTCAAAATATCTCTTTGACATAGGTGCCAGGAAAATCCTTATTTCACAGGTGAGGATACAGGCTTTTAAAAAGTTAAGTGCCTAGATCACATACATATGAGCTTCAAATCTGGGTGTCCTAACCTAGATTTGAAAGTAGGATGGCAGTCCCAGAGCTCATAGTCGTGGCCACCCTTCTTTACTTGGACCTAAAAGTATAGAGAATTTAAAGAGAGATGGATAAGAAAATATTGAAGATAACTCCAAGATTTCAACTAATTTCAACTCCATTTCAACTAAGAGAAACGTCGTGAGAAGCACTATTAAAGTAATATTTATTGTGCGTACACTACATGCCAGGCAGTGTGCTAAGCACTCAGTACGCATAATCACATTTGATGTTGCCAACAGCCTATGAAAATAGTCCTTTCCCCTGTTTTACAGATCAGAAAACAGAACTGTGCCTGTGCCCACTAAACCCTCGTTTCCATAAGTGCAAAGGGTTATTTTATTCATAGCTCTATCTCTAATGTCTGACCATAAAAAAGTGTTCATTATATAAATTTTTGAAAGAATGAGCTTATAAATGGTAGAGTCATGAGTTGAACTCAGAACAGCCTCACTCTACCTCCTGGAGTAGACAATGCATTCCATTGTAGCAATAGCAGGAAATCTAGATATGGATATTCAGCATATATATAAATTCTATTAAATGGAGCTTGAGGAAAAGGTCAAGGCTAGGCTCCCTGTCAGGGAGCATCCATGTGGAGATCAAAAGTCCCTAAAATTAGATGAGACGATTAAGGGAGAGGGTATAAGCTCCAAACCAGAACCTTAGAGAACACCTATGTTTACAGGCTGAGGGGAGGAAGAGGCATTTTAAAAAGCAATGAAGGGCTTCCCTGGTGGCGCAGTGGTTGAGAGTCCGCCTGCCGATGCAGGGGACGCGGGTTCGTGTCCCGGTCAGGGAAGATCCCACATGCCGCGGAGCGGCTGGGCCCGTGAGCCATGGCCGCTGAGCCTGCGCGTCCGGAGCCTGTGCTCCGAAATGGGAGAGGCCACAACAATGAGAGGCCCGTGTACCGAAAAAAAAAAAAAAAAAAGCAATGAAGACATATGTATCAGAGAGTTGAGATGGATATATAGATAGGAAAGCAAAGGGGAAAGAGAAGGAAGGTTTTCAGCAATATCAACCACCACAGGGTAATCAAAGAGCCTCAGAATTAAGGCAAGATAAGTGCATTTGGGGATTAGGAGGTCATCCATTCTGGGGTGAGCAGATTCGGAAAAAAATAGGGACTGAATAAGAATCAGGAAGGTGTCTGAGTAGGTGGGGAAATGGGCTTGTGTAGGAAAGAG